GCTGGTAGCAGGGAGACCCCGGAGCTCTGAGCCCCCACGGGTGGTGGGGGCCCCAGAGCTCCCAGCCACCCCGCAACTGCCTAGTCCCGTCCCATTTTATCATGGATATTTTTATTAAAAATCAGGGACAGGTCACGGGCATCTGTGATTTTTACTAAAAGTATCCATGACAAAATCTTAGTCTTACTTATGAGTATACTGATGCTTCTGTATTGGTCTACACCAGGGGGTCTCAAAGTCCCAGCCCCCGGGCCATCTGCGGCCCGAGATCCTCCCCACTGCGGCCCACAGAGGAGAGACGTAGGCAGACATGCTGCCGGCAATGTCGGGTGCAGGTGCCGCCCCCCGCAGCTCCCATTGGCTGGGGGAGAGGGCCAGAGATACCATCACTAGTTGCCAGGCAGAGTCAGCCATGGGGGCAGCATCACTTTTTTCCACAATTAATATAAACAAGTCAAAATACCGAACACAACTATCTGATGCACACCTTGCTGCAATCCTGAAGGTTTCAACTGCTCAGTCACTGAGGCCAAACATCAAGAAACTGACAGAACTGAAGCGTTGCCAGGAGTCTGGCAAACACTAAAAACTCTCTGGCAGGCAAAGAATTGTATAAAGTTGTATGACAGTCTTATTTCTAAGAAATTCAAAATAAAAAATACAATATAAAACATTTTCTTTTCTGAACACCATCTTCAGGGACATCATTGGCCCGCTGGGAGTATCTGAGGACTGGCACTGGCCGTAAGGTAAATGGAGTTTGAGACCCCTCGTCTACACAGTGTTTATAAGCTCACACTAAGAAGCCTCTCAGCTGACCAAAATTGATTTTTATTCAGAGATTCCTAAGGCCAGATGGTACGGTTGCAATCATCCAGTTTGACTTCCTGTATACCACAGGCCATATAACTTCTTCAGGGATGCATAGCAGATACCTTAGTGATATGCCCATCATCTCTGACCAACTTTTAGAAGTAACAATCTCTGAAAGACAATTTCCATTTCCAGCAATAGCCCTTTGTCCCCAACTTGGTCAGTCATACCAAAAGCTGCTGAGAGACACAGCATAATCTGAAAGGATAGCTGATCTTCCCAGCAGCCAAATCTAAGCAGAAACAGATCATACATGACTCTTACATGCGTGATCTAACTCCAAAGGAATACCAGAACCTAGACTGACATCTAAGTCTTCATGGTTGTACTAAAAAAAAAAAAAAAAAAAAAACTCCCCAGAACCTTTATGTCACACACTGATACTCCAAGCTATAGCCACCCTTGGGATGAAGGCAAATGACAAAAAAAATAAAAATAAATAAATATATGAAGGGTCCTCTACCTCTTCAAAAAAATGCCTCTAATCCTTGTCCATATGACCACCTACAGTACACATCACGACAGCCTCAACCAACTAAATATTACTTCTACATCTTTGTACTGATAATGAAAGCTGGTGCAATTAATACATTTCGCACCAAATTTGGTGCTGGGACATTTGTCTCCAAATTCCACAGTGGATACCTGATCTTGGGAGGGTACAATATCTTTACAGCTCTGAAAGCCTAAAAGGAGAAAATGAAAAGTCAACTTTGTTGACTTCATTGAATCTGATACATCCCATAAATACCAAGTGTACTTTAGTAATGCTTAATCCAAGGGATGCCCCATTGTGTTATAAATCTTAGAATCTTTGGAAAGTGCATCTTTTAAGGCTTCCAAAGTACCAGGCATTATTACATCATGTCAACAAACTTAAGATGTTAAGCCATCTTCACCCTGATCAGTTTCAATCCTCATTCTTACACCTGAAGTACTATCTTCTCCAATCCTTAGCAGTTGACTTAGCTGTAGAGAGATTTAGGTTTTCCAGAAACATATGGACTATCAAACACAGGAGGCTTAAAGCTTATTCCAGTGACAAGGAACATAGTCTACCCCAACATTGACTAAAACATGATTTATATCAGAGGGTAGGCAACCTATGGCACGCGTGCCAAAGGCAGCATGCGAGCTGATTTTCAGTGGCACTCACACTGCCCAGGTCCTGGCCACCGGTGCAGGGGGCTCTGCATTTTAATTTAATTTTAAATGAAGCTTCTTAAATATTTTAAAAACCTTATTTACTTTACATACAACAATAGTTTAGTTATGTATTATAGACTTATAGAAAGAGACCTTCTAAAAACATTAAAATGTATTACTGGCACGCAAAACCTTAAATTAAAGTGAATAAACGAAGACTCAGCACACCACTTCTGAAAGGTTGCCGACCCCTGATTTATACAGTTCAATTTCTAAAAACAAAGGTGTCTCTCTAAATGGTACCCTAACCTCAAATATAATCCCCTTGTTTAAAAATGAAACATGGAACAGTTAATAAGACTAAACAAAACAAAACAAAAAAACACAAGAGGAAGCCATTCAATTGAAGCAAAAAATCCTCATCCCACAGAAACCCTTCCTTTCTTCTTTTGCCCTCACCAATGCCTGATAAAAATGGCATGCTTTGATGGTCAACAACTTCTGGCTATTTTGGGCTGGGAGAATGATCAAGTGAATACCAAAGTCCAGGGCCCCTTACAGAATATGTCCCAGCAGCAACTCCCTCATATTTAAACTAAGGGGCTCCAGCTCAAGCATCTCTGCTGATCGGTGCTGCAGCAGTATCACAAAGATGAGAGGCCTTCTGCTTGACAGGAAGGTCCCAAGCCATTTAGGCCTTTATAAGTCAAAACCAACACCCTGAATTTCCACTCAAAAACCAACAGTACAGATTCCACAGAGTACTGGTGCAACGTGAAGATATCGCCAAACCTTATTCTGTTTCGGCAGGGGAAGGGGGGATACATTCTTGCTATAACTACTCAAACATATTAAGAGTATCATAGTGAGTTACATGTGACAGGGACAGAAAACTCTCTCAGGTGTTTTTCCTGTAATGAGTAGGTCTAAATTACCCTACAGTACTGAATCCTCATGAAGCAATGGATGTAATGCGAGTTTCACTGTTTCATTAGATCAGAACTCCTCTGGCAACATCAGTTACCAGTGACCTTTCCTGCATACATCTGTAGTATGAAGAACTGAAATAGAGAGGATGCAAGTATAGGCACTCTTATTATATATGGTGCCACACCAAGAAACATTGGGAGGCATAGTTATCTCCCTGTATTGGGCTCTTCCGATACCAATCTAATATTTTTCTGTGGAGGAGTGAATAATGTTCTTTACCACTTTCCATCAAAAGATCTAAGTATGATTACAAACACTAGTTACTCTCAACAATCTTGTGAGCTAGGCAAGAACGTTAATCCTAATTTACCAATGAGGAAACTCAGGAGGAGAAAGACAAGCTGACAGTCACAAAAAGTATGTAGCTGGGTCAAGAGTGGCACTCCAATCTCCTGACTTCAGATCCTGTGCCTTAGCCACAAGCTTACAAGTATTTACTCGGTTGGTTTTTATTGCTTGTTTGTTTGCTTTTTACTTTTTGTTCCTTCCTTCAGAGCTTGCAGATCTGAACACTAATTCTATCATGCTCTAAAAAAATAGAGGTAGAGAGACTGGGACAAGCTGGAGGGGACTGCACACAAGGGTCTAACCACTAGAGAATCCTCCCCTCAGAACCTGGAATAGAATTCATGATTCCAGAGTCTCACCATTCTTCTTTCAGCAAGCAGCTGGGAAACCCACTGGTAAAACGCATCTCATCTCCCTCTAGCAAGTGGCCCATGTAGACAACAACCTACTACTGCTATCAATTAGCTCGAGTAACAGATGCCTGTGCTGTGGATCTAGAGGTTCTAAAGCTGATCAGTCACGTGGGAGTCAATATGGTTCAACATGATGGAATTTGTTGGATTTTTCCTAATTTGCTTTTTTAACATGAATGAAGTTAAACAAATTTTAAGGTTATCGTCAACCACGCAAAAGTAGGCAAATGCCAAAATTACAGTTGCCCATGCAGACTTACCGGTAATTCTGCCCTCCTGTGTTTAGTCTCTACATCATGACATATGTTTTTCCAAAGGACCCCTGCCCCATTGAGTGCACAGGACTTTTTTTAATTAAGAAGGCTGCTCTAAGTTGCGGTCACTGATTTTCTGGGGTACTGTCAGGGCCGGTGCAACCACTAGGCGAACTAGGCGGCCGCCTAGGGCACCTAGTGGTTGAGGGCACCTAAAAGCCCGCTCAGGCGAGGAGGTGGAGTGGAGGGGAGCTGGGGCGGGGGGCAGGGAGGGCCGCCCGCAGTAAGGGGGGGGGGGAAGGCACGCACAGGGGAACCGCTCTCCGCCCCAGATCACCTCCACTCTGCCTCCTCCGCTGAGCGAACAGCCCCTGCTCTAATTCTCCTCCAATCGGCACCGCAAGCCTGGGAGGGGAGGAGAATCAGAGCAGCGCTGGCATGCTCAGTGGAGGAGGCTGAGGTGGGCTCCCCGGGCCGGGTTAGCTACCGTGGTGGGGGGGCTCCCCGGGCCGGAGGAATGGGGTTAGCTTCCGTGGAGGATGAGCTCCCCGGGCAGGGGGGGGGGGCGCGGACGTTCCCGGGTGGCACGCGTGGGTTAGCTGCGTGGGG